GGCGACCACTGTTCCTTTCTTCATTCTTCCCAACAGTCAGCATTGGTTACTCTGAAATCCTCACCAATCTCTTAACCATAAGCAAGTAGTTTTTGTGTCTAAACTTCACCGAACGTTAACCAGAGCATTAAATATATACATTTTTGCAATGTTTAAACATTTTTAAATGGTCTGCACTTATATAGCGCTTTTCTACCTTAGTGGTACTCAAAGCACTTTACAATGTTTTCTCATTCACCCATTCACACACATTCATACACTAATGGAAACAGAGCCGCCATGCAAGGTGCTGCCTGCCATTGGGAGCAACTTCAAGTTCAGTGTCTTGCTCAAGGACACTTCGACTGTGGAGGGGCAGGGGATCAAACCACCAACCTTGCGATTAGAGGACAACCACTCTACCACCTGAGCCACTACCGCCCACCTTTTAAGGGCTCTGATATGTTGTGTATCCTGATGTTATGGCCACCACATCAGGAAAATGCTTGTGGTTTATATTTCTGCATTTTATTTGGAGAACTCATTTATCTCATCTAAGGTATGGCTGACCCTGAAAATACTTCACTGTCACCTTCTGAGCACTGTCCAGGTTTTGTTTCAGGAAAACATCAGAGAACAATAGCAACAAATGAGAAAGGTTATGCTGTTTTGTTTTATTGAGTAGCTTGATGCAGTTATTGTGATGCTCACGGTAGATGCTCCAAGTCTGGGAAACTCTGCTGCAGCGACGGATACCTTCAACAAGATATTTCTGTATTTGTAATGATGGTGGTGGAGATTGGCTCCCGTAGGTGTTCAGTTGGTGACTATTGAATGATTCAGTGAGCCCTTGTGAATAGAAGCATGCTCATTATATTTCTCCACTCATTTATTCAGATTTTCTTGACTTTGTTTCTTGTCTTTTTGTCTTTATACTACAGTAGGATCATATATATATATATATGTATATAAATATATAAATATCAAGTTACCAAATGGCATTTAAACAGTGGAGTTAAAATGCTGAACTGAATGAATGAACAGACAACTATCCAGTGAAACACAACTAAAAATCAGCAGCGTTGAAACCCCTAATGGGACGTGGAGAGCAGACTTCCTCCCCCTTGCTCCTGTAAAATATTCCTCCTCTCCTCTTTGGGTTTAAATTGTCTCCCCCCTCATCCCCTCCACTCTCCTCCCCTTCTGCCCCCTCCTGTTTTTTTTTTTTTTCTTTTTTATAACTGGCTGCAAATTCACTGCTGTTCATTACCCAGGCAGGGTCAATTCCCCAAACAATGTGTTTGGTGCCACAATAAAAAGGGTGTTTTTTATGGCATGTAGCAGTAAAACGCTATTAAACAGATAAAACACCAGCAACGAGCATCAAGAGGATTATAAAAGGAATTGCCTTGATAAACTCCACATATCTGCGTGATGACACACCAGCAGCTCTTCTCTCTCCACCAAGGAGGAGGAGGAGGGGAGGCTGAGGCTGGAGGAGCACATGGTCGGAGGGTTTACACGGCTCTACAGCGCCACCGTGTGGGGATGTTTAAAGAAGGTTGTCCGATAATAAGCTCTGGTAAAGGGGAAAGAAGGAGAAATTCCTGTCAGATTATGTGTGATGTTTTCCACACTGGAGCTTAGAAGGAGAAGATGGGCATAGAAAAATGCTTTTTGTTTCTCCATTTTAAAATATATTCCGTTTTTAAGAATACCTGAGATCATCAGCGCACACTTCTTGTCAGTCTTTTTCTATCATCAGTCAGGATTTTGCTTCACAACTGACTGTGTGAATACGGTTCAATAAAAGCAAACTATTGGATGTATTTGGTATATTTCTACATATCTTTTTAAAGATGTGACACTAAATCAATACTATGACTGTATTTTTCTCCATTTTAGCTGTATGATGGAGAACATTTTAGCAGGGTTTCAGCAAGTATCACATCCGAAAAGACATTTGTGCTTAAAACTGTAACCCAAGATTAGGCAGTAAAACTGGATCTGTCTCCTCTGAGCCTGAGGTTGGAGGTGATAAAGCTCAGTCTCCTCATTAGCATAGAGATGCATGGGAAAAAATGCCCGTCCTCGACATTAAGTTTAAGTCCTTAAATATTTATATATGCCTATTAGTTTATCTTCTTTAAACTTTTTAAGAATATTTAGTTTCTTCCTTTAGATAGCCTGGGTACATAGAATGCTTGCAGATGTCACTGCTGTCTGCACTCAGCTGGTCTTATGCTTCCCTCCTGTGGTTGCAGAGAGAATTTCTGCGGTGAAATGGCTCTTTTTCACAGCAAAACGTTGGCGATGTCATTAAATTAAAAGGTGTTGCTATTAACATTAACTTTGTCTTTGTTCGATTCAAGCATCCTAATCCATGACAGCTTACTTCTGGTTCATGTCACATCACATCGCATCACCTTGAGAGGGTCCAAGGTTACAAAACATTGAGCTTCTTCAGTCCGAATGTGTCCTGTGATGGACTGACAGCCTGTCAAGGAAGCACCTCTCAATGTCAGCAAGGATAAGCTCAAGTAAGGAGTGCACTTAAATACAACTTTCAGGTACTTTACTTGAGTATTTCCATTTTCTATGGCTTTTACTCTGCAATTCAGAGTGATTTAAAAAAAACAAAAAAACAATTTTACAACATTTATTTTACAGCTATAAATATTAGTTGCTGTTCAGATGAATATTTTCTGTACAAAAAGAAAATGATATCATGAAATCAGTGGTTTCAACTTTCCTTAGTTTGCAGTCTCTTATAAACAAAGTCAACGAGTACAGATGGCCCCAGCCCAAGATGCAGGGGGCTCATGCAGAGGTCTAAGGTTAACCTTGAAATGGCATTAAGAACAACACGTGACTGAAGCGCTCAGTTTGCAAAATGTTGTGCCCTGTATAAATTCTAATAACTGGCCTGATTTTAACAAACCATTGTGTTTTGGGGTCTCCATGTCATGTTTTATATGTCAAAAAGTTACTAGCAAGTGATTTACCATCTCAATTTTAAAGGTTAAATGAATATCACACAACGAAAGTATCAGACTTTATTCTTTCCACTGAATCATAATTATCTAATGACCCTTCAAATTTATTTTACAACCCTGAACCAGTCACTGGGAAATCACTTGATTGGCTATCTATTTACAAGGCAGTTAAAAATAGTTCCATCTCAGGCAGCTACAACAGTCTGCTAAAGCATTTTTACATCAGTTTTGACAGTCCTTTATTATGAGATGTAATAATTAATCAGCACATGGTCATTTTCTTGCAAAGCGGATGCTTTTACTTCAGCAAGGTTTTTGTCTTTTAGACTTTTGTTTGGACTTCTAGAGTACTTTACCATTGTTATGTTGGTACTGTTACTGAGGATCTGAGCATTTATTCCACCACTGTACTAAACCGTGTGGACAGGTACAGAGCATTGCAGGAAGCCTACACATGGAAATTTTTCTGGAGGAAACACCTAAACAATGCAGGGCTCACAGTGTATTTAATCCAGCAGTATACCTGTATGGAAAATAAACTATTTATTGTGTAAACTATGAGTCAAGGACACGTTTTTTTTGCTGAACTTTCACAGCACTCTCATGGGGTAAAAACTCCTATTTCTTACATACATTTCTATCATACAGAGAGGTTATTGTTTCATTTCTAAATGGTCTGTCAACCCAAATCATAAAACATCTGTGCCCTAAATCAGTCATACCTGTGCCAAAATTTGATTCATGGTCAATTTATGTTTGATCAAAAGGTTTCTTCTGGATTGAAATGATATAAACTAATGACAAAAGATGGGAAAACTTATGTTTTGGATGTTTTGTTTTGATGTTACATTTTGTCTATTTTGTTAATTTTATTTACATTTTTACTAAAATGCCATGTCCAGTATTATTCAGTGGCAAAACCTTTATTTGTCACCACTCAGTCAAACAGTTCTTAGGTTTTTCAGACGTCTCCATTTGGATTTTGTTCCACTTGTCTTTTGTGACGATCTCCAGGTCTTTCAGGTTGAAAGGCTTCATTGCCATCACTCCGGTCTTCAGTTGGTAATATTGTTTTCCATTCAACATTTCTTGATCACTTCGGATGTATGTTACCCATGACTGTTTTTTTTTTTTTTTTTTGGGAGGTCCACTCTTGCCTGAGGCCAAGTTTTTCTACAGACTCTAGACATTAAGATTTTAGATGTTTTTCTCTTTTCTCTTGATGTCGCGTGACAAGGTTGCCAGATCCATCAATTACTAAGCCTGACTGTGAGGATGGTGTTCTTGGGCGTGAACGCCTGTCATATCACCAAACAAAACCCACATCTCTGTGTCCTAAAAGCTCCATTTTCATCTCATCTGACCACAGAGTTGATGACTAAACACTTCCTTCTTTGTCCAGGTGAGCCTTTGTAAGGGCTAGGTGAGCTTTTGTATGTCTGTCTTGTCCTTCTTGTCCCAACCTTGCTTGGTGTCTGCTGGAGCGTCTGCCATGAGACGTTGGAACCAGAACAGCTTACATTCATCAGGATGTTCTTATGATCCTTGGATTCTTCTTGGCCTCTCACACTACCATTTTTGTCAGTGCAGGAGTCACTTTTGGCTTCCTGAAATTCTACTAATTAAAAAAAGTAAAAATAAATAGGAATAATTCACATAACTAATAATATATTCAGTGGTAAATGTTCAAACAAACGTTTATTTCTTACTCAAACTGTATCTTGAAATCACTACATATATATATATATATACATATACATGGTCGTATAAAAAGCTGTTCTGAATAATAAGGCAACTTTTATGTTCACCAGATTTAGCCAACAGGATATTATTTTATGTGTTATATAAATATTAAACTGCATATAAACCGCTTATTGTAAATATTGTCGTTCTGCCAAATCGCTCCTCAGGGCAGAAGGGAGTCGTAACGTTCCGCTCCTCTTCGGCATTTTCCGGCCTTCTCCGGTCTCCCTTCGTCCATTTCCGGTGAGCGTCGCCATCTGCTTTCTCGTCCTTCTCCAATCTCCGTGTTGTTGTTCCCGGTGACGCGGCGGAGGTGTAGCCTGACGCGGGCTCTTACGTGTCGGCCAGAATAAAAGTGGAGCTCCGGAGGCCCGGGAGTGACGAAGGGAGTCTGTATCGGTAAGGACGAAGCGGTGTCCGGGGCTCAGAGAGACAAGACCCGGCCGCAGAAAGTGTCGGTCTGGTCGGGTTCGGCCCGAAGGAAACAAAGAGATCATGGCGCCGCGGTGTGTTTGTAGCAGGATGGAGGGAGGGGAGGCTGCGGCTGTTTGGGAGAAACGGAGCGAATGTGCGGCTTTGATAGCAAACCAGGAGGGGCAGTTTGTGTGTTAACACATCAGAAAGCGAGATTAGCGCTGTTAATACGCTCTGCTGTCAAATGATGCTGCCACTGGTGGAGCTTTTATGCGCTAAAAATTGCGCCGTTTTCCCCCTTAAAGGCGCACTGGAAGCATCAACCGCTGTATTTATTCAGGTGGCTCGACACAATCTAATATTCTCACTCATATTTACATTTTATCATGTCACACGACTGGGTTGTGTCTAATATCTTGCTCCTGTTTTGAATGGGTTGATAGAAGTGAGACTATGCGGGTTGTCGCGTTTGGTCGAAAAACACGAAGTCAGGCCTGCGGAGTTTAACAGCATTTGGGGTGTATTTGCGGTCAGATGAGTTTTTTTGTTTTTTGTTTTTGTTTCTGTTTTTTGGGGTTTTTTTGCCATCTCCCGGGATGTGACCGGTGTGCGTTGAGGGGGCGTTGCCCGGCCATGTGGCTCCGCTGTCACACACACAGCATCCAAGTGATTTTTGAAAAGCAGAGGGAGAAATGTGTAAAGCCAATCATGCGGCGGAGAGACGCTACGCACAGTGTGAGATCACTGAGCTCCAAGAGCGGCTCGGAGCAGCGGCGCCTCGAGCCACACGGACCGCAGCTCGTGTCAGAGCAGTGATCATACAGACTGGAGGATGTTTGGGTTAATATACCAACAAAGAGAAGTGTGTCTGATTAGGTTCTTGTTGGAAAATACTCATAATACAAAACAATCATTTCCCTTTGCTTTATCTGTTCAGCTACTTGATGTGTCTCTAATTAATTTATTCATCACAGTCATAGTGATTTAAAACCCGCACCAGTCTTTAGATGTAGTTCCATGTTTGCAGTTTTATTATTGCAGTTAGTTGGTCATCCAGAACAAATCTTTAGAACGATTGATAAAGGATTCTTGGATCTATAAAATGTTGATCAGTGTTCCCAAAGTCCAAGAGGGCATCCTGAAATGTCTTAATTTTCTTCACAACTCACAAAAAAAATCAGTTTACTGTCATAGAGAAGTAAAGAAACAAGAAAATATTTACGATTCACCTTTCTTTTTTGCTATGAAAATACCCAGCTGGATAAATCAGTTGAAAATTTAATAGTTAATGGCTTAATCGTTGCAGCCATTTATTTTTATTTTTTTACAGCAGAAAATACATGTTTGCAGTTTCAAAAGAAACTTTTGGAAGTATTGATAAGGGATAATTATCTTAGGTATCCTTTATGTGCCCTATATGAGCTAATAAGCTAATAGGACATGTTCACAAAATACGAACTTGATATGTTTTTTTCAGGGTCTGACCATCAGCTGGACGTGCTGGTGTGTCAGTTATATAGGATCTGTCCTGCAAAAACAAATCATCCACACAAATTTGTGGCCATTGCATCACCACACCTCACTTTTCACACTGCATATATTCAATATTAATACAAACACCTGGAACACAGCAAATTAAAGACTCTAATATGAGTGTAATGTTGAATTAACACTCGTCTGGTTGAATCTAAACAAAAATTGAACAAAGTAAGTGTCAGACGTTTACATCTGTTTAAGGTATAGCTTCTTATGGACAGATGGGATCTGTCATTTATGAAACTCTGCCTCATTGTGTAGCAAACAGTGTAATTCATGGTGCAGTTAACTGTTATGGAAGTGGCCAGTGGCAGAAATGGAACTGCAATAAATATGAAGAAGAAACACCACAGACAACAGCTGTCTCCTTTGTGTCTTTCTCTGTTTTCCTCAGGACAAGTTTTCTGACATTTGTTCAAATTTCTTTCACCCTAAATGTTCCATCACATGATGATTTAAGAACAGATGCAGATATTATTAGCAGTTGCACACAAATGGTGTCAAATAGTTCAGTAATCAGAACATCGAATTTTATGCCTATAGCAGCGGACCTACTTTGACATTATTTTTCTTTACCATAAAATGATAATTTGGGGCTGCAAGGTGGCACAGTTGGTTAGCACTGTTGCCTCGCAGCGAGAAGGTTGCCGGTTCGCATCCCGGTGGTGCGCCGGGATCTTTCTGCATGGAGTTTGCATGTTCTCCCCATAGACTGTATAAAAGATGGACGTAG